CAAGGAATGAAGGCAACTTCTAGAAACTGGAAAAGGTGGGGAAACAGATTTCCTCAGAGCCTCCAAAAATGAATGCCGCCCTGCTAACTCCTGGATGTTCAGTCCTGTGAGTTTTAGGCCCTTTCAGACTTCTGGGCTGCAGAACTATGAGACAATACACTTGTGCTGTTTTAAACACCGCATTTGTGTTCAGCTGTAATAGTAGCCAAAGGAAACAAATACAAGAGCCATGTCTGGGCACTCGCGGGGCAACTTAGTGGGTAGACCAGCACCTTAGCACCAGAAGAATGAGATGGTACCCAGCCACCTTCACTGCCCATTCTGATGGGGCTCCCAAAAGAGCAGTGCTTCTCAACCTTCCTCATGCCGCGACCCTTTCATACAGTTCCTCATGCTGTGGTGACCCCCCAACCATAAAATTATTCTCGTTGCTACTTCATCGCTGTCATTTTGCTACTGTTATGAATCGGGCAACCCCTGTGAAAGGGTCGCGTCCCACAGGTTGAGAACCACTGCAATAGATGGTCTCCGATAGAGTCCACTGAGAAACCGAACTCAAGTTCTTTCTTATTTTTCATTTTTAAGGTAAAATAAAGTAGAACAGCAGAGACCGGAAGACTCCCTGAGAATATTGCCCTGAGACACAATATAAACCTAGGACCAAGCCTATCCTCTGAGCTCACCGTTTAACAAAACAGAAGAGCACCCAAAGTTAAGGGTCTGACATGGAGGAGGTCCACGTCAAGACTCTCTGTGAGCTCCAAAGATGAGCAACTTGAGAGGAGGGCAGAGAAACGAGGTACTGGCAGCTGAACACACGGCACAATGAAAGCCAGCAGGATGGGTGACCCAGCAGACATCATGCTGGGGTGTGTGTGTGTAAATCACAAAAGGACAACTCTTGCGTGAGATCACCAAGGAGAAAGGTTTGGAGGAGGTTTGCCAGGCTCAGTTTTCAGCCAGGCAACCAACTTTCCATGAGACCTTCCCAAGCTTTCTAAAGGGAACAATAACACGAGGGAGGGAACCCTACTGTAAAGTATTCACCCATTTGAGACCAAAAGGGCAGCGTTTGCTCAAGGACCAAGTTCAGAAGGGCTCGGCGAAAAGGGAGAATAGAAACAGGACACACAAGGGGGCCGTGCGACAAGCGGTGGCCCGTGGCGGGGATTGCAATCGACGACATGGGTCCTTCATTCCGAGAGTTTGTGTGCTGCTTTGCTCTTGGCTGGACAGTAAGCTTAGACCGTCCAACTCTGTTCTCTGCAGGGCTGTGGAGCATATGTTGAATTGGAGGGAGGGCAAGTCCACTTAGCCATACTTATATTCTCCCCAAACATCATCCGCAGTCATAAAAGTGAGATTTGGACGTCCAGTGGCCTGACTCCTGTGTCTGTCTCTCATTTGATTCTAATTTTGGCCAGAGACGAATAGTTCTCATTGTTGATCAGAACTTTCTACCTAGAACTAAAGAGGGGTCTTAGGAAGTTTCCTTTCTCGTGTCTCCTCCAAATCATGTCACTTAGCTCGGACACAATGGATATATGGATTGTTATAAGAGCTGTAAAAGTCCCCAATAAAATGATTTAAAAAAAGAAGAACCCAGGCCCACTCCTTGCACATGCAGCCAGGATTTCTGTCACCCCCTGGTGGTGTAGCGGTTATGCATTGGGCTCCTCACTGCAAGGTCAGCAGTTTGAAACCACCAGCTGCTCCACGAGAGAATGAGGAGGCTTTCTATTCCTGCAAATAACTGCAGTCTCAGAAGCCCACAGGGTGGTTCGCCGTCTTACAGGGTCGCTATGAGTCGGCATCCACTCCGACTGATGCCAGTGATGTTTTCGAGAGCCCAACGGGGAAGCATGACGCTAAATTACAATGGAGGGAATGCTTTGATGCTGCGCGCCATGCAGACCTGAGACCCAGGTGCCTCCGAGGCTTTGGGCCTGAACACCTTGAAGTATGGAACTGCCATTGACCCCGGTGTCCTGGAGACGTAGGTTTAATGGAGAAGGATAAGCAGCTCAATGTTGGACCTTTCATTAGTTTATGCAGCTAGGATGTGATGGGGAAAAGTTCCACCCATCATCCGGTGTCATAACTAAGGTAGAATTGATTTCTCTCCCCTATGAACAGCCTGCAGCGAGTGCTCCAGGGAGCTGACAGTCTATCAGGAGCCCAGTTCTTGGCATCCTGTTGCTCCACCAGCCTCCAGGACATTGTCCTCCTCTGGGAAGGAGTGTGGTGGAAGAAACGTGTGTGTCACTGCCCTGTGTGACCCCTGTCAGGCTCTACTATCCTTGGCAGCCCTCCTCTGGTGTCCTCCCGCCACAGGCCCTAGCTAGTGTCCAATAGCTGGCCCTTGTCCTCCAAAGTCACTGCCCACTGTCCTCTGTGGTCACTGGCTCTGGAAAGTTCTTTCTGCTCAGTAGGGTCTGCTCTGCACACCCGCAGCCACCAGGAATCAGAATGAACTTGGCGGCACTAACAACAGCGAGTGGAGACTAGTCCAAGGGTAAGGCTGTAATTGGCAAATAAGAAGCATGGATTCATGTTAGCAAAGAAGGGGGTATGGGTGGACTACACCATGACGTTGTTCTCATCATGATCAGAATGGGTGTTTTGTGAAATCGTTTGTGTCCAATGGGAGAAGGACGTGGCTAGGCTGGGAGACCAGCCAGGCTAACATCGACACCAGGCAGCAGGGGTCCTCCAACTTTTAAAACCGGGGCCAGTTGGAGGGCCGGACTATAGTTTTAAAAAAAACTATGAACAAATTCCTATGCACACTGGACGAGTCGGCTGCTAAGCAGGACAGGCAGTGGTGGCAAAAACAACTGGCAGGCCAGATGCGGCCCGCGGGCCATAGTTTGAGGACCTGGTAGAGTCTGACTGGCTCCGTTTGCAGCAGCCGCCTTTTCCCTTTCTCAAAGGGCCCCCTCCCAGCCATGGCAGTGGTTTCTCTCTGCGACCCAGGAGAGCAGAGCTGGCCTGTGGCCCTGGTCCTGTGCACCTTTAGCCTGCATCCTGACTGGCCCTTGTGACACCTGTCTCCAACTCTGCCTCAGGGATTCAATCTGTCCTCAGACCCTGAAGGACAGCAATGCCCTCTGTTTTCCTGGACCATCCTGCCCCCCTTTATTCCCTCTTGCCTAAAAAAGGGCTGCTCTGTTTCTGTTCTGTACGCATGTCCCACTCTTGGCTTTTGAGCAGTCTTAGTACTTTATTCTCTTCTGCCAATGTGTGGGGTTGAAGCGGTAGGCTTCGGTGTGAGCTCCAGCTGTTGACCTGGGAAACAACCGATGGTCTTTTGGGTGCCTCCTTCTGGGCTGTAGGGAATACTGGTGGCATAGTGGTTATGCTTTGGGCAGTGATCCTCAAGGTCAGCAGTTCAAAACCAGTAGCCTCTCTGAGGGAGAAAGATGAGGTTTACTACTGTAGAGAGTTACAGTCTTGGAAATTTTTTGCAGTTTGCCCTGCCCCACAGAGTCAATATCAGTTGATATGCATTCACTGGAAGGCAGTGAGTTTGTTTGCTTATTTGTTTTTGATCTGGGCTGGAGTTTTCTGACATGCGCACTACCCAACCATTTCCCCTCGTCAGCAAGGCCCTCGTTCCATTAACTATTATTATTCATTTTAAAATGCATCTCTGGATAGGCTGGCCGTGCTCTTCTGGACATTAGTTGTTCTGTTACATAAAGACCCATATTTTAAAATATTCCTATGACTGAGCCTTTTTTTCTTTTTTTTTGCCTAGCAACCATGTACCCAGTCTCACTCACTGTGCCTCAACTCCCGTGTGTAGGTGTTGGGAAAGGATCATACATTCCTCTCCCAACGTTCATTAGTTCACAGAGGAGACGTTACATCCAGTGTTGAGATAGTTTATTGTGCCAGCCTGGCCGATAAACATGTGTGGGATTAATTGAAGGGCGGGGGAGATAAATGGCTTGGTGAGCCTCGCCTTTCTTGTCTCTCGCTCTTTGATCATCGGATCAGTGTGCGGCTGCCTTGCTTGTCCTGTGCCTCAATTTACAGGCTACACTACCTGTGGGACGCCTAGCCTGTGGACTGTGTCGCTGTAAATTGAGGTCCCTTTAAGACATCTCTGGAGCTGGGGACTGGTGGTTGGTGACCTGGCTGACAGTTGGTGACCTGCCTTGTGATTGGCTGCTGTGCTGACATAGCCTAGCTCTCTCTAGACCTGGCAGCAGACTCGTCTGAAAGGACTGCTAGTGCCTCATAACTCTCTCTCATGGGAGTGAGTTGCACTGAGCCATTTGTACTGCTTTATAATTTAACTGTTCATTTTCTTATATTATATATCTATCTGTATATAATTTAACAGTTTATTTCTTGTTATATATCTAAATATCTTTATAAATAAATATATTAAATTATCAGCAATTTGGTTTTATCTCTCTAAAGAACCCTGTCTAACACAAGTGTTGAGCCCCTGATGCCCCCGACAGTACCAGGTACAGATTGCTGAAGATAGGTGTTGCCCACACTTAGTGGAGTCTCGGTCAACAAGAGCGGTGGGTGAAGGAGGATTTTCCATACACCCTAAGAGTGGGAGAGGAAGGACACTCAGGGTGGGCGATCTAGAGAAGCTGCGGTATGGGTGCAGGACCTGAAGCACATCTAGCTGGCGTCAGCCTCAGCCCCAGCTTTCTCTCAATAACCCCATGGAAAAGAACCCTACAGTGGAGAAACTTGGGGGCAAGTCTCATAGTCTGATAGCATGAAAAATAGCCTTATCCGGCCACTAAAGAGCTAGATAAGCCAAAGGGCAAGCAGCACGCAGGGTGACTTGGGATAATGGACCGAGAATTGCATAGAGGCGGGAGGGACCCAAACTCAAGGAAGACTCTGGGCAGGTCATGGAGAATGATGAGTGTGGGGCCCTGGAGCCACCTCACTCGCTGTGGTCACACATGCACAGACCAATCACAGGATAGCAAGGCTCATTATTTATTGGACGTTTACAGGAAAAGTGTTCTTCGTGGTAAAGCGCTACAGGGCATGGCACAGAGAGAATTTCAGAGAAAACCATTGATTCTTCAGCGGACGGGCCTTCAGAGGCTGTTAGGCAAGATCTTGAAGATGCTTTTCTGTGCAAGCAGGTGAGGAAATCAGGTCATAGAATTTATCCCAGATGATGTGGGGCTCGTGGAAGAGAGGATCCTGGGGCCCAGGTGAGGAAGTTTTCACTCTCACTGAACACGGAGTGCTTGCTTCACGGGGGTCCTCGGTTGCACTGCGGATGAGGTGAGATTAAACTGGACAATGATTCTCAAGAGCGTTTTCTTGTCCCACCGGAACTGTCCACCACGTGACTGTAGGTTGTCGTAAGAGAGAACGTTAGGAAAGAACGAGTGGGTACATTTTATGGGCTGAGGCAGGGAGGATTCTTTTTGAAGAGATCTTTACTAATTTTCAATACCATAGCAGCTCACAAAGGAGAAAAAGGTCAAATTATGTGAACTAAACTTCGGTTCATGCAGCATTCATACTGATGGCTCTCGCTGCAAGCTGGCAGCTGCTAATGACCGTAGTCAACCACCCGTTCAAGACGTTCATGGAAGAGACTGGAACGAATGCACGCAGGCTGGTGCTCCACACCATGGGCATGACTGGAGCAGGCGATAGTTACATACGTCCGCACGTGGGGAGCTTCCTGGCTGGTGGGAAGGCATAAGCCCAGAAACCAGCCGTGACAGCTGCAGAAAGGCTGGAATTGAGTGCCGAGAGAAGACCGAGACAAAGATGGAGACCCCGCAGGCAGAGATGACAGTGACCGGAATTCCGAAGGGACTGAAGAGTGTTGGCAGTCAGAGGGAGTTCCGTATCTGATATGAATATGCAATATCTGGTAAGGGATCAGACTTTGAAGGGTTCTTAGAAATGGATGATGTTGGTGATTATGAATGAACAAGCTAAAATGTCCTATTTTAAGATGAAGACACTTTCCTGGTGATTTTTATTTGCTGATTTCAAAGATATTGATTGTCAAAAGTTATGCTTCAATTTAAGATAGATCAAAGGAACAAAATGTAAACAATATCTTGCGCTTGTCGTTTTAGGCCTAGGATAATTTCTGTCTGTTTTGTGCATTCGTACTCCGTGGTCTCAACACGGCTTCCTTTTCCATCGTGAGCTTCTTCAATCAGCATTGGCTGGTTACACTTGATTTAGAAAATGCCTCTATTAAAGGAAGGTGTGCTAAGTTTGGCTCTATCCCAGTAACATTAAGTCTCTTGGACAGAAAACTAATTGAAATGGAACTCAGCCATATGTAAAAATTTGTATATAGAGCTTATGAAAGTCACGCATGGGGGTTATTTATTTTGCACACGCACACAAAAAGTATAATGTGTGCATTTTTGGTTAAAACATGGCAAATATTTTCACTCGATGCAAGCCGTCAGTGTTAAGTCTTGGGCATGCATTCTCTGAATGAAGCCCCACAACCGCTCCAAGTTAAGAAGCGGATAGAGAAAAGCAGAGCCTCTTGCCTGGCTGAAGACAACGGCACGCTCACATGTGCCCTTCCTAGAGTGAGAAGCAACAGCCAAGGTTATGCAGAGGTCAAAGGAAGAAATTCTTATTAATTAGAGGCTGAGGTGGCCTCCTGGGTTTGAAGGATGGATTTCAAATACAAAAAACAATTGTGTTTCAGTCTCACAACCTGCTACTCTTTGCCCATTTCAAACTCCAAGTCCTAATGATTTTTAGCACGCCGTCAATTACAGACCCTCTTTCACCAGCACGGAATTCCCGAAGCCCTTCTGTCAGGTAGCTGACGGACGGACGGCGGTGCCTTTCCCCCGTTAACCTCACCTCTTCAACAGCTCCTGGTGGAAGCAGGTCCTGAGCCCAGTCCTCCAACACCAACTGCCAAGCTTTCCACACCTTTCTGACCAAACCATTTTCTTTTCATCTTTGGGCGCCCACCCTGCATCTTTTTCAAAAGCACTGGTTCACTCCGCCCCCGGGATCCCCAAAGTCAGAGGTCACACACCTGGAGTCCTAGACCTCTTCCACACCTCGTTCCTGGAGACAACGATCTGCAGAGACAGAGCAGAATGCATGGGGACCTGAGCTCATTCCGCAGAGAGAAAGCCCTGGGCTCACTTCACCTGGTGAGGCCACCGGGGACGGCGTGGGAGCATCACCTTCCCTCTCGGTACCACGAAGTCCCAGCCATCTACCGCTGCTGTTCACAGACATCCTTTAACAAATGGAAGGCTTTAGGGGACAAAATTCAATTCCCTCACGGTTTAGGAAGTTCGAAGGCTGCATTCGGGGCACAGCTCTAGGAGGAGGCACCCCCTTTTTGTAAGCTCCGAGGGAAAGGCGTTCCCTAACTCCGGCCTGGGGTTCCTGGGAAATCGTCATGTTTCTTGGCACCGATCTTCCCTGGGGCTGAGGTTCTCAGCACAAGGGCACCTCCTCCGCCCCCAGGGTCCCCATCCTATCCAATGGATGCACTCTGCTCCCAGGCCTGTGGCCCCCCTTCCTCAGCCTGCTGCTCCCCTCCATCTCTTGTGAGACAAAAAGGAATGCGGGCCACATGCAGGGAAGGCCCTTTTACACCGGCTCTGGACGGTGACCCCAGGAAGTGGGGTGCCCCACCCTCTGATCCCCTCACCAGTGATTGGCTGGTTGCATCAGGTTATATCATGATGGAAGATGAAAACATGACCTAACTGCTAAATATGGTTTAAAAACAAGAACAGTAGAACACTTCATATTAGCTTTCGAAGTATGAAAATAATCTTGTTTTTTGAGACCATCAAGGCAGTGGTCCTGCCCTCCGGACTCTCAATTCTGAATGGGGAGACCCTTTAGCTCAGCGGTCCTCAACCTGTGGGTTGCGACCCCTTTGGGGGTCGATTGACCTTTTCACAGGTTGCCTAAGACCATCATCAAACACATGATGATTCATCACAGTAGCAAAATGACAGTGACGAAGTAGCCAGGAGAATAACTTCATGGTTGGGGGGGGGTCACCCCCACATGAGGAGCTGTCTGACAGGGTGGCGGCTTGAGGAAGGCTGGGAAGCACTGGTTTAGCCCATGGCTTCAGCTCGACCTTCCAAGGCCACCCATCAGCCCTGGAGGGCATGACAGCCCCACCCCCTCAGCTTTGGGCAATGGATTCGGCCCCATCTCCCTGCCCTTGTCAAGGACAGCGCCACCCACACTCCAGAACCGAATTGGTGAAGATATGGTTCTTGGAAACCTAGGAGGCTGGGGTCCCACCCCTTGAAACCCTAGAGGCCAGACCTCCATCCTCTGAGACTCCAGAAGTTGTGGCCCTCTGCTCAGACTCAGACAGCCCTGATTCCTGTACGCTTCAATTTCTGCTTCCTGGTTTTAAAACTCCTCCACCCCTTAGCCCACTAGGCCTTTGGATCAAACTATTTCTGGCCTGCTCAGTCAAAGCTCTTTAGCTCTGCCTGGTAAGTGCCACTTCAGTACAAAGCCTCTTGCCCAAAGGCACTCAGTCTCCATGCCATCTTATGCCAGTCTCTCGGTTTTACCGCCATTGTTTCTCTGCCACTGCAATGTACCATGTGCACCATCTTCGCTATTACAGCTCCCTCACTCTCTCCTGGGCTTACCCAGAATAGCCTTTGAAGTCCATAATTCCACCAACAGTCTCTGCAGGATAAACTAGGCTCTTAGTACTAGACTCCTTAAAGCTCTTCCAACCTTCACCCAGTAAACAATTCTAAAACTGCTCCCCCATTTTAGATATCTGTTGGAGGAGCACCCCACTTCTGGTATGGAGTTCTATCTTAGTTATCTAGTGAAGCTTTTTTTTTTTTTTTCTAGTGAAGCTTTCACACAAATGCCACAATTGAAAGGCTTTACAAAATAAGAGTTTATCCCCTCAGTCTGAGAAGTTAGAAGTCTGAATTCAGGGCATCACCTCCAGAGGAAGGCATTCTGTCTCGGTCAGTTCTCAAGGAAGGTTCTGTCTTCTGTCAGCACCTGTGGGCCTGGTGGGCCTTGCAGATTTCCGTGTATCTTACCGGCTATCTTCTCCTGGGTGTAGGAGGTTCTCAACACAGGGGCCCCAGATCCACTTCTGCTAACGTGGTGGTACTGAGGCTCCCCTTTATCTGTGTGCTTCTCTCCTTTTATCTCTTGCAAGATAAAAGGTAATTCGGGCCACACCCCAGGGAAACTTTGCTCTCATGGCATCAGCACTGGACCTCAGTAAGGGTGTTGTATTCCTCCCTAACCCCTGACAACCAGTTGGCTGATCGCATAGTGGGGCAGTTACAGTACTGTATAACTGCTAAATGACATCATCACATGGCTGCCAATGCACTGAGCATCATGGTCTAGTCAAGGTGACACACATTTGGGGGGAACAAAATTCAATGATGACACGTGGCAACAGGAAGTGAAAGACGAGATAACGGCACTTACCAACTCTGGTCAGGTCTATTACATTTTTCTCAGGAATTCCATTTTGTTTGCAAGCCTCCATAAACTTTTTCTTAATTTTTTTGCTGACATCTGGTCGTCGCCCTGTGGGCAGAGTGACAATAACTGCTATAGCTTCTGTGCAGATCACTGAAACAAATGAGGAGGGAATACACTTCCCTGATAGTTGAGCTGCATAGGATATCCTTCTGGCCTGATGGGAGATGCCCCCATTTCCCCACCACAGAGTCTGAGGGACTCCCAACGGTGAGCATCTATCTTCAAAGGGTGCGACATCCCAGAGGAAGCCTGGGAGGCCCCCTTAGTCTCAAGGCTCCTGCTCCCCGCTTTCTCCAGACCCCAAGATGACTGTCACATGAAAATACTCTACCGTAGAGCTCCATAATTTGGAACACGGTCCCCTTATTGAGATTTATGAGATGAAATATTATAAACGACTCATAGTTGGTGTCAAGTACTTGAAACATATTCTCTCCCTCATCTGTGGAAGAAGCAGAAAACAGCTCAGAACGTCTGTGGCCCATAAAAAGTAGGTAAACATCTTTTAACTGTTCTATCCCACAAAATAAATTCAAGTGCTTGTCCTTCAAGAGACAGAAAATGAGAATATAGAAGGCCTTCCATTTATATCTCCATGAACTCTGGGAGGTGATTTCTAAGGGAAAAAAGGATACTGGCAGTGTTACAGACCTGGTGCCCCGAGTTCTGACTTCTAGTCTTCTAAACTGTGAGGAAATAATCCGATTTTGTTTGTTAAAGCCATCACCTGTGGCATTTCTGTTGCAGCAGCACCAGATAATGAAGACAGGTAGATTGGCCCTTATTAGTAGAAACATGCAGCCATCGCAACAACTCACCCTCTTATCCTTCTCCCTGAGACCACCCACCTCCCTCCACCATCTTGGCCCATGATGTGTCTCGGCCCCCTCTTAGACACCCCATTAGCTTGACATGCCAAGTGCTGCACCCTGAACAAGGCTGGCAGTGGGCACCAGGCATCGCCAGAATGAGGGTAGGGACCCATATGTTACCCATCTCACATTATGCGATGTTATTAAGTGCCAGACACTGGCTTTTGTAGTCAGAGCTCTTCAAAATTCAGGATATTGGTGGAATCCTGGTGGCATAGTGGTTACACATTAGGGTGCTAATTTCAAGGTCAACAGTTCGAATCCTCAGATGAAAGATGGGGCTCTCTACTCCTGTAAAGTTACAGTTTCAGAAACTCACAGTGGCAGGTCTACCCTATCCTAGAGGGAAACTATGAGTCAGAATCCACTCAATGGAAGTAAGTTTGAGAGTCATTAGATAGTCCCCATTACATTCTTACATAAATAAGTATGAATCAGGAATTTATCAGGGTCATGATGATTCATTCATTTCTTTGCACTTGGAAATAGAACTTATTGACTTTTCTGCATACTTACAGTTGGTGTGATACAGGCCATTTTTGGAGGGCACTTTGTCACAAACAAAATCAAGTGGCATACACTCTCCATCTACCCTGTAAAACAGGATAATCTGATACTCAAGGGATGTTGATGGGGCCTGATTCTGTCATCACTTCTCATGACTTGAAGGTCTAACTCCATTTAACTCTTGGGCGTACATTGGTACAATTTCCAAAGAGTATTATTTATGTCATTTCATTGGATTTGATATTTTTAGAATGAGTCAACTACTTTTAACACTACTATGATCACAACTACTTCCACTGTTGCTATTACTACAACTATTTTTCTGGATTGCGGCAGCCTCTCAAGTAAGTGCTTTACAAATATTACCTCGGTTGGTCCTCACAAAAATCCAAAACTGAGAATTATCACCCCTTTTTCACCCAAGGGAAAATGAAGACAAAGAGAGATTAACTTTCTTGGTGACATAACTGGTAAGATAGTTTCAAATTCAAGCTGTTGTTTCTGTTCTATTAACTGATGGAATATTGCCACACTATTTATGATTCTGTCCCCGGATTCCCCTTCTACCACTTGCATCTACTCCTGTCACCAGCTCTTGTCCTTGAATCTAGAAAATCCCCAGGTCTATCGAGTCAGGGTCTCTGATTTTGCACATGACTCTGCATGTGTGTGTAGAAGGCCAAGACCATATCCAGGCTTCCACATTTTCTCTCCAGCTAATAAATGCTATACTTACTTTGTATGGAATCTAAAGTACAAGGAAGAGTTGTCTAAGACTTGCATGGATTCCACAAACAACCTCATGGGACCATTTACTTCTATCTTTTCTTTGTCATCGGAGGCCAAAAGAATAGAATACCATTCTCCTGCAGCCTGCAATAAATCAGAAAAACAATTGGAAATTTTAGGAGAAAAAGAAGCATCACATAAATATTAGTTCCCTCCTAAAAAAAAAACCATATTATTCCCCTTGAACTCAGGCCTTTGGCTCAAGACTTATGGTGTCGTTGAACAAGATATGAAAATGGAGTTCAGCCAATGGGCTCCGCACTCGGGGCTCTTTGTATTGTTCCTCCAGTGAGAATATAAGTCCCCAAGCATTGCAAACTTTCACAGGGGACAACTGCCCTTACTCCAGGGTCTGCAAACATCCTTTGGTCTAATATGTTGAAGGATCCCTCTTCTCCAACAGGCCCCTGCTGGTTTCAAAATCCTACAGCCAACCCCTAAAGTCAGAAGTCGCTCATGCTGCGCCACCTTTGCCATGTGGAAGCTTCTTGCCCCAATATTGTCTGTTCCTCCCTTGTGAGCACAGACTAGACTCAACCCCAGACACAGAAACAGCAGCTTCATCTTGATAGGAGTCACTATGTCTTCAACAACCGTCGGGGAGAGTGAGTCTTTCCCTAAGGGTGCCTCCACTTCCCAATATTTCCACCCTTATATCTCTTCTGGACTCCGTTCTCTATGCATGAGGCACACCCTCTCCCCTCCCACTCCATGTATTGGTCTGTCATCCACTGAGCTGCAGCCAAGGAATGCCCTTGACCTTATGAAACTTGGCAATCCGTCCCTTTTAGATCTCTTTAGTGACCTTAAATTCCCCAAACAAATTCTCAAGAAAAATAGCACACATTCTAAAGGGCAGCTTTTTGGATCCAGATTGAACTGTGGCTCTGGCCTGGAATCAGAGAGCTGATTATATGTGGCAGGACTGGGGCATAGCCAGGAAATATAATGTGTAGTGAGTCTCTCTTCCACCACTTGTACAGCATAGGGATATCAGTGAGTTACTCCATTTGTATGCATCTCAGAAACAATAAACAAATGAACAAACATGGACCCCGCAAACACCAATCTCCACGGTCCTGAGACCAGAAGAACTAGATGGTGCCCAGCTACCACTACCAACTGCCCTGAAAAGGATCCCGTTGGAAGGTCCTGGATAGGGTGGGAGAGAAATGTGGACCAGAACACAAAATCATCCAAGAAACAAGCCTTACTGATGAGATCCTCAAGATTGTGACCCTTGCCTTTCAGGCATGGAACTAAACTCACCTCCGCTTCAAAATAATCAACCGATCAGAAGGGAAGCATTTACCCACAGGCAAAGTGCAGAGGGGTAGGAAAGAAGGAAGCCTGGGAATAAGAAACCTCAGGAGGAAGCGGGATAAATGTTGACACGCGCAGATAATTGCAATAATGAATCCAACCAGTCAAAACTATGATATTTTTTTGCTCTGTTAACCGTCACCTAAATCACATTAAACAGTTTACTATAATAGGGTTAAATGAAATAATGTCTTTAATGGATGGGCATCTGGTCCTTAGTTCTTTCCCATTCCTTTGTCTTCTTCTCTGCCCCCAACCCGGCAGGATTCAATTAATGAACAAGTATTTAATCACTATGGAAATGCTACAATACCACGGGCTCCACAGAGGAAATTCTGATAAAGCTGAGTAAACTGCTTCGCGGTTGCCATCGCCAGGGGCCCTCGAGTCAGCTTCCACGCCCAGCAGCCATCTAGCTGGACAACAGAATGGAGCACTATCTGATCGTGCCACCCTTGTCGTTCGTTTGGGCCCACTGTTGCAGCCACTGTGTCAGTCCATTTCAGTGTGGCTCTTCTGCTTTGCCACGGATGCCCCGGCCCCGCCTCACCACGCCTGCTGGCCTCTTCTCATTACAGGCCCACAGTCCACGGGAAGTCTCACCGTCTTCACCTCACATTCTTTCCTCTAAGATCTGTTCGTTCGTCTGCGATCCCACGGTACTTGCAGTCATCTTGGAAGACATCAGTTCTTCTCTGCCCAGCTTTCCCAGGCAGATGAGAGAAGCTTGCAAGAAAATTCCACGGTGTGGATCAGGCGCAGCGTAATTTTCAAAGTGACAGCTTTGCTCCTTAGTACTTTAAATGGGCCTCATGCAGTAGATTGGTCACACACACACACACACACACACACACACACACACACACACACACTATAGTACATCATTTGATTTCTTGACTGCTGCTTCCTGAGTGGAGACTGCGAGTCCAGGTGAAGTGCATGCCACTGTCAACCTTTCCCCCATTCATCATGATGCTGTCTGTTGGTCCAGTTACAAGGATTTTGATTTGCTTTGCATGAAATTGTAATCCAGATCAAGGTTGTCATCCTTGATCTTCGTCAGCAAGCGAGGTTGTGCCATCTGCATATGAGCTTCCGTCAATCCTGATGCCCTGTAGATTCAGCGGACACCTTTCTTAGATGGCTGCTCTTTCAAAGACAAGCCTTGAAGAGCCCACACACTGTTCTTTCTGATAGCCAGGCATCACCGGATTCCTTTACCACACTGTTAAAGCACCAATAGCATCGATGAAATTACGCTATGAAAAATGTAATTGGACAAAAGCATATACAAGACTCAACCAAGGCCCCACGTCCACACCGTAGCAAAGGAAGTGAAGGAGGAAGGTGGCATCATACAGAATGTACTGAAGAGCAGAGGCCTGAAAATCGCCTGGAACCCTGGACCTCACTCCCATAGCTATTCTGAAGCTGTGAGTACACTCAACTCCCACCAAGAAGGCAGGGTCAGGAGTGGACAGCACCCTTTGGCTCCTGGATCCCTGCACTGAAAATTTGGAGACAACAAGAGATGACGAGAAGCAGAGGCAGCAGGACCAGGAGACCAGCAGCCCATGGTATAGTGGGCGGAGCTAGGAGCTTTCAGCCCCAGAGGGGAGCGGGAGAGCGGAGTGCTTTGGGTAGGAGGCTTGCTGTTGAGTGGGGTGCCTCCAAACACTTACTGGAGGAGCTAAAACGCTTGTAACACTTATCCTGCAGGACAGGGGCTGTGGGCCCAAGAGCCACGGATCAGAATGTAAGCTGCTAGTGCCCAAATAAGCCTCACAGTCTTAAGTATGATCTGTGACTTCTGGGTGGGAGTTGCACGAATGACTGGACCCATCAGACAAGTCGGGAGGCCAGGAGGGGAACTGTGAGTACCCAAGTTGGTCAAAGGGCTAGAGACGTGTCTGAAGTCCACCTCATAGAAATTCGTCTTGGGCTGTTGGTTTTCTTCCCTCTTGTGTAATTAGAGGAGATCATGGCACCACCCATCGCTTTTACAGATCGGAACAAAGACTGCCATTCTCATTTAAGATAGTGACAACAACCTCACTGTCATCAGAGTCACATTACGACTCACAGCAACCCTACAGGGCAGAGTTGAACTGCTCCTGTGAGTTGCCAAAACAGTAGCTCTTTACCAGAATAGAAAGGCTCATCTTTCTCCCGAGGAGCGGCTGGTGGGTTTGAACTGCTGACCTTGTGGTTAGCCACTCACTCTCTAACCCACTACACCACCAGGACTCTAATGGAAGATAGGAAGACAGGATATGGTTATTGCCTCCAGACAAGTGAAACTCTAACTAAGGAACACAAACTCGCCAGATGAGGGTGGGAGCACCAGTCAGCTGTCACGGACCCCTGTCCTCTCTGGCCTCTGCGAGGCCGGAAAGGGAGAGCTTCTGGGAACAGTAAGCCAGTGTCCATGGATTCAGCCCCAACTCATGGTGACCACATGTGTGTCAAGCATAACTGGGCTCCAGATAGTTCCAATAGTCGGTCTCTTTAGAACCAGCTGTCCAGGCCTCTTCTTCCGTGCCTCGGAGAGGTCTCAGACCCCTAGCTTTTCCATTAGAAGCTGAGTGTTCTAGCTATTGGCACTGCCCTCAAGCAAGTCCTCTTGGGGAGTAATTGTGTCAGCTCCCGGCCAGGGTCTAACTTTCTGGCAGGGAGTAAGGATGAGCGTTGAGTTGCTCTGCCCATCTACATGTCATGGGGAAACGGACTCCGTTCTTTTGGCCAGGAGAGGAAGAATATTTCCAGGGAACAGGTTTCAGTTGGCACAACAGTAGCAGATGAACCAGATGCGCATCAGGCTGTTGGTCACCATCCTGGAGAACTGGTCTCTGGACCTTTTCGTTGTGGGGCCAACTGAGTCTGCTCCTGATTCTTGGAAAGAGTGGCTGGTTGTTCCATGGCTGAGCTGCACCCCTAAAAAAACAATGGCCACTGAATCAACTCTGCCTCCTGGTGACTTCGTGTTGTGTCAAATGAGAACTGGGCTCCACTGGGTTCTCTCTGGCTGTGATCTTTAGGAAGCAGAGGACTGCCTTTTCTTCTGAGGGACTCTAGGGGATTTGAACCACCAGCCTTTCTGCTAGGGGGTGCTTTCGTAGCCATGTACTTTACTGGTTTTGCCACCAAGGTCTCTGGACTGTCCAGACCACCTTACATCCACCAATCTTTTAAGAACAGAGTTAATATCCAATTAGATCGCTACATTTTCAACATGGCAGAGAAGCCTCGAGTCAAGCTGCCATGTCCCGGTCAAGTTGTAATGCTAGCTTTATATGCAAGGCCCTTAAGCTTCCACACATGTTAGTGACCAAAGAAAGAAGGTTAGTTCAAGGTCATATTTGCCCAGGGAGCGCTGAGCATGGGCTTGTGCCAGGGTCCGGCGCCCAAGACAAATATTATCACGGAACTATTTTGCAGTAGTACAAATACCGTCTGTCCTGGAGCCAGACATATCAAAATAATATTTTGATGCCTGAAATATCATAAGTACTCAGTGAACATTAGATAAATGCTTTAACAATATTATTTTATTTAATCCTCATAAGACTGCTTTTTGGTAGATGTCATCCTGTTGTATAGAGGTGTGCCCTAAAGCTCAGGGAGGTTAAGTACTCTTTTCAATATCACACAGTCAGTAAGAGATTCCTTGTTGGAACCTAAGACTGTCTGATCCTAGAGACCCTTCTCTTGTTGACTCCCTACACGGGGTGGGGCTCTCTGTTTCTGATATGAAGAACAGATAGTAGGGGGGGCGGAGGGGATAAGTAATGCTGGAGTCTCTCAACAGTGTTTGCCGGATAAGTGCTACTGAAGAAGCTGCATTCAAGCTTCTTTAAAATGTGGTGCTAATGGTATAGCTAAGGAGCTCTGGTAGCATAATGGGTTATACATTGACTTGCTAACCACAAGGTCAAGAGTTTGAACCCACCAGCCACTCACTCCTCAGGAGAAAGACCGGGCTGTCTACTCCTGTAAAGATTTCAAGTCTCAGAAATCCAATGGGGGCAGTTCTATTCTGTCCACTTGGGTCACCGTGAGTTGGAACTGGCTTTATGGCAGAGTATTGGTGTAGCTTGAAGGGTCTGATCAAGCGCAGTTGGAGTAAGAGTGAGCTCCAGGCCAACCCGTATTTCATTGAGGTTGAATGGGTGGAGGAA